TTGACTTCATTTTTCACTTCTATGTCATTAGTTAGTAACAGCTTATCATGTTTGGAATTATCAAGACATCTATCAAGAATAATAATTTTCCTTTTCCTATTTAATATGGAATCAATCATTTTTGAAGGGTCAGCATTGTAGTCGTCGATACGAGCTTGAAGCGCTTTCTGGATACTTTTGGTTTTGAACTCCTGTTCTTTGAGTTTAGCTTCAACATAAAAACCTGCTAATAGTAGTTTTATGTTCAGAAAAACAGAGTTGATGTAGGCTAGGGAATGATTAATATTTACAGCTATCACGTGTAAATTTTTTGATTGGGCAATAGCAAAAAAATCTTTATATTTGGATGACCATTCTTGACACTTGGTCGTGTCATTGAGACAAACTCTAGTTAGTTTGTTGAAGCTGTGTAGGGTCTTAATGTTCTTATACATGGTTGCAAGACCTATAGGCTGTGTTTTATAATGAGTTGCTCTGGCTTTGTTTACAGGTATGCAGGATTTGGCTGCTACAATGATCGATTCCTGAAATATATTCCATGAACTATTAAGTGATGACTGTGTCCAGCGCTTTGTGATGAAAAGGTCTTTGAGAAAACTGTGTTTAGTGATATTTTCAGTTTTGGCAGCGAATTTGGCCCATTTCTGTTCATCCATATGAGTGTAGACGAAGAAGCTTTTCCTATGGCATCGTCTGTCATTCGAAGGAGTGGTCAAAAAATCAGACATTGAAGTCATTACAATCGAATGGTCAGAGACAGAGGGTATCGTAGATACTGTTTGGTATGTGAGGATATTTAAGGTCAATTCCGGAGACATCCAAATATAATCAATACGTGATGAAACATCATGCTGAAAAAAGGACAGAAAGGATGAACGGTTAGTATTGTAGACTGTCTGCCCAATGACAAAGCTACAGGCCCCTCTTCTATATCTAATGAAATGCTTAAGCATTTGGGTCCATACAGTAGAAAATACCTTTGGTTTATCATTTGTGGTTGCCTTCAAATTTCTTCAGTTCCCACAAGATGGAACTTTGCCTATGTCTACCCGATTCCCAAACCTAAACCTTGGGAATTTGACCTTAATAACACCTGACCAATTACACTTTTGGAATGCCCGAGAAAGACCTTTGTTAAACTACTCAATACCAGACTTGCATCCATTTGTGTACAATACAACATCTTAAAAGAATCAAACTTTGCTGGACTGCCCTTCAAATCCACCTTCGATCTCATACATATTGTAGACAACATAAAACATGATGCCTTCACTAATAAATCTAAGCTTTGGGTCCTCTTACAAGATATGTCTAAAGCATACGACTGTATCAACGTTTTTATATTGGTCAAAGCAATGGAAAAGCTTCGAATCCCTTTTGACTACATCAACATCATCATGAAATTATTTATTCCTAGACTCAACAGAATCTTCACTGATCATAACAATACTGATCCCTACGTTGTCGTTTCTGGCATTGATCAAGGAGAAGTCATTTCACCTCTTTTGTGGTGTATCTACTATGACCTATTACTATGTAGAGTCCAGGAGTCACCTCACAGATACGAAATGAATTGCCGTTGGCAACCTGATGCTCATTTATCTGCCACGCAATACCTTTTCACAATGATTCTGGCTTTAGCATTCATGAACGATACTCTATAGATTGCCAAGTCTGCTAACGATCTGACATCAATAATCAGAATTGCTAACAGTTTCTATTCCTTTAATGACATCTAAGTTAATTGGTCCAAATAAGAACTCTTAGTAAATAAGACTCAGCCAGAGACTTTTGCTATTGCCAATCATAACGATATCCATCACATCAACGCGTGTAAACCCAGTGAAAGTGTCAGGTATCTTAGAGTCTGGATTTCACTGGCAGACAATAGAACATTCATCACCAACCAAATCCATGAAGAAATTAAATCCGCAATCACCATAATGAAAGCAAAAAGATTGACGGACGCTCAACTTATATATATATTTAATATGGTCATTCTCTCACGCATTGAATATAAATCACAACTTACACTCCCTGCGGAAAAACATTGTAACAGAATCATGACATCATATATAGCCTTTCTCTGCTCCAAATTGCATTTCTCACAGAAAACTCCATTCTCGCTTTTTCTATCACATTATTTCTACAACATTATCTCCCTCCACCAGAGACTTATTCAAAATCTTAGCAGTACTATTTTGCAGATGGCCAATGAACCTAATTTGTTAGGTCTCACATTCAAAATTCGTGTCAGACAACTGCAAACCCGGGAATGGTTGTACATCAATCCTTTAGTACGTTGGCCATACAATACCCAGAGATCTAAAGATGATTGGCTCCCAGCCCTGATTAGCATCCTAAACAAACTGAACATCAAGTTTAGCGTTCCGTTAAGATTTACTAATCTGGTATCCGATGGCACCACCCTGATTTCAGACCTCATAACGCCTATCTATAGGAATCACGTCCTGGATCTCAGAAAATGCTCAGTTCTCTATGCTGAACAACTAGTCAATTGTGTTGGTAATTACATGTTCTCCTACAAAAACCTTATTCACATTACACACCAACAAATGAGGTTTGTCAGAACTCCCAAATGGTTTACTATCATAGAACAGTACTTATAACCATCACCAGACAGATTCATCAGCAGATCTTTCCCACACAATTTAATGTATGGTTACATACTGAAGCAATAACATCTTACCCCTGGTTATAGGTCATATGCGGTAGGCTGGATATTCAATCTCAACAATTTTATTATTAGGCGCATCACATATGCTGACCAAGATTCTTTGTATCTTAGACATTACAATTTTGAAAGAACAACAGATCATAGTACTAAATTGATCCCATGTCTCTGATGTTTCCTGCACAATCATAATGTACCTCTAACAAATAGTTTATACTGCCGTGTCAGTATTCCTTGTGCTTACTATGCAGCCTTTCATAATATTTATTATGATAGTTCTAGTTCTATAGCACTATCCATCGGTGCTCTCAATGAATTGGCTTTAACTTGTGCAATCACGTCCTACCAGCCCCAAATTTTAAACGTACCGCCCTCTGTTCCTCCTTCTGCACATAATTCTTGTATAGATAGATTTATCCCTTCCCCTTCAAAGAAGAACTACTAACACTTTCCTTTACTTTTGTTTCTGCTACTGAGTTAGAATTTATACCGACGGGTCTCTTAAAGACGTCGGTCTTCCTTCAATCAAAATGGGGCTTGCTTGGTTACAATCTCACCAAAATTCGCCTATGGCTTTCTTTAGCACCGCTCTGGTCTCCAGTTTTCCATCATCATCAATACCTGAATCTGCAGCTCTTTTTACCGCACTCTTGACTGCCCCTCCAAATTGCAAAGTCAGAGTCTATACTGACTCAGCTATTATCACATCACAATTCAACAAATTAAGTTTCCTCAAGAAGCAGTCTCCTTCTTTTAGACCTTTTCTAAAAATCAATAACTCTGTGTTTTGGTCCTGTCTTTTTGAAGTAATCTCAGAGCATAACCTGGATGTCTATTTAATAAAAATCAAAGCGCACTCAAACAATCTCTTGAACAACAAGGTAGACGCTATAGCAAAGGATGCTCTTATCCTCCCAGCCTTGCAACTTAACTTGACGGCCGCTCCACAGAGCTTCGCTAACTGCAAAAACCAACCTATTCTTATCCCGATCAGACATATTGTAAAGGAGATCTTCTGGCATAAGCACCTACAACAAATATTATCCTTGCATGTAGTAAACAAATATCACCTATTCTTCAGAATTAATTGGTATGTCACCTCCTTCTGTCTTAATGACAATATAGCTACCAATCACACATCATATGTAGCCTC